ACTGAATTTTACATCACCAATCAATTCTCTTTATGCTCCATCGAAAACCCTTATAATCATATGACTGTTTTTCATGTGAGAGGGGTCTATTAGAAGTTTTGACAATGTCATTAAAAGCATGACATTAATAGATAACCCATTATCAATCAATACTTTGGCCATGGTATGGGTTTTACACTTGACAGTAATGTGTAAGGCTATAACAATACCTCACCCTTCATCATCATTAAAATTAATAAAATTAGGAGCTACAATATTTCTCACTAGGTGATCTACTTTTTCAACAGAAATATTATGTTGCACATAAGCTTTGTTAAGAACTTTTAGCAAAGCATTCCTGTATAGCTCTGAATTTAATATTAATGATAGTAAAGAAATGTAAGCTGACAGTTTGTTTAATTGGTTCGTCGCACTGTATTCACTATGTTTAATGATCTTTAAAATCTCATAGGCTTTTTTCTCTGATACTGGCTGGTTAATATGGATTTCCAAGCTTAACATCGGTTGAGAACCTTGACTTTCTCCTATGACTTATTCTCCCACCTTGTCTTTTTCTTTTTTGGCCTTCTCTAATGTATTAGAACATAACATTGACCATTCTAAGTCATTCCTCCTATAACCGATATGTTTGCAATATTCTCCATACTTGGATCATTTGGGATCACATCTCGAATCATAACATTATAATCATACTTCTATAGGACTGCTTTATTAATCTAATAAGAGAATGGATATGGGACATAAATAATCATTGGCACCTTTTTGAAAGGAGATAACCTTCTTAGCTGCAGGTTTAAATTTTTTATCATAGCATATTGTAAGAGGTTTAGGAATAAGAGACTTGCCAAGATGCTCATCACCCACCATATTCACACTAGTCTTATTATATTCATCATAAAACTCTATAATGGCTACGTCAATCAAGCTTTGCAATATTTGTCTAAAGGCTTAACATCTTTGAATGGAATGTCTGACCATCCCTCCATGATACTTGCAAACCTCCTAATTCGTTGGTTTTCTTTTTTCTTTTGTTTATTTTTTGTTTTGAATTCTTTTTTTTGAATTTTTTATTTTAATTATTGATTGAATTAATGTGATAAGGAAAAAAAAAGGAAAAAAGAAAGTTGGTAAGATTTTACAATTAATTTGCATGATAATCCTATTTATTTGCTTGATTATTATTTGCTTGATTGCATGTTTTTGCATGGTCAATTATTATTTGCATGATATATATTTAATTGCAAGATTATTTAATATTTACATAATATAATTGCATGATATTTATTACAATTGTATGATTAAATATGTTATAACTGCATGCTTATTTTTATTTGCATGATTATATGATTATATATATTTATTTGTGATTGCATGATTATTAATATATTTATGTGTGACTACATGATATTATTGTGTAATTATTGCATGATTATTAATATTATTGTAGGATAATTAATATATTTGCATGGTAATTAATATATTTGTGTAGTAATTATATCATTACATGATTACTTGTGTGATTTATTGCATGATGATTTTATTACATGATATTTTATATTATCGTATGATAATTTTATTGGCATAATATTTATTGCATAATTGCATGATTGCATGATACTTTTAATAGATTTTTCGTATCACCATGTTGTGTAAATAAATAAAAAAGATTGGATTTGATTAATTTGCATGATAAAAATCATCTTTGATAAGGCTTAGGTAAGATAACACATAATTAATTTGGTACCAATTTTAGGCGTAATGGGGGTGCTAATACCTTTCTGCACTTAATCGACTCATGAATATTTGTTTTATTAATGTAAACTAGAACTTATTCTTTTTAAGAATCCTTAGTTTAGGTTTAGGACAACCTTAAAAGAGATAGATTCACATAGGTGGCCAATGACACCTAAATAAAAAAAATATTAGTGGCAGTCTTATGATTTTTTGTGTCAATGTGTAGGTTCTCAAACTTATACATTATGATAAGTGGTGCTTAATGATTATGGTATGTAAAGGTCATGTTTAAGTTAGATGATAATGCATTTTTTTTCTCTTTCCTTTAAATTTTTAAAAATTTGAAAATTTTAGTGCAAATTATGCCACCAGTCCCTGTACTTAATCAAAATTTGAGATTTTGTTCCTATAGTCTAATTCATTCAAATGTAGTCCTCATACTAACTTGATTTAATAATCTTAATCAAATCATTAACTCTTAAAAATCTTTTATTAAAAATACTGATGTGATTATTAACTTGCTAATATGGCAATTGACTTTGATGATGTAGAATTTTCATTGGTTAGAAATAAAACTAATGATGATGTGGATTAATTGAAATGCCATATAACCATTTCTATTAAATCCATATAAGTTTTTTTTTCTTTTAATCAATTTTTTTTTCAAAAATATTGATTTTAAAATTTTTAATCCAACATGGAATTTTCTTTTAAAAATAATTAAAAATTTTAATAGATTTTACAAAAAGGTTACCTAAAAAGAACGAAAAAAAATCTTAATCTAGTGTTGTTAAAGAACCAAAAAATAGTAACCTATTATTAATCGCAAAAACACATCTCCACATGCTATTTATCACTAAAACATATTTTTGAGAATTGGTACATGATGTCTTACCATCCACTCCATGACCACCGATTTATGGTCTATCTTGATTATAAAAGTCATGAAAAATCTTTTAAGATCTCCATTTTTACTATCGAATTGCTGCAAGATTAATTTAATTAACTTTTTAAGCATATATTTTTGGGATAAATCACTGTTTGGTTAATATCTTTTTCATTTTATTTGGGTTTCATAAAACAAACCTTGAAATTGCGAAAAGTCAAACTAACTAATGTCTAATGCTTAATTGGTTTTCAATTGGGAAAGAAAAGCAACCAATGTCATACCTTTTATACCTATAAGTTAGGCCTAGTTTTAATTGTTTAGACCAATTAGAGCTAGTAGATGGATACTTAAAACATGCGAAGAGTTTGGAGTTATATTAATGGATCAAGCATACGTTTTTTGATGTTTTTTTATTTTATTTTGAAGTTTTGGGTTGAAGGGTTTTAGGAGATATTTTTCAAACCCCAATAGTGAAAACATATTAAAGGGTTAGGAGAAGGCTCAGATTTAGTAACCATTAGAGGTGGTGACCGTGGTGCATCTAGGTTTTTGGGGTTTGGTTTCTTTTTTTTTGTGAAAAAAGATAGAATTTTGGAGAAATCTAAATCGATAGATTTATAAAGAAGATTAAGGGGAGCTTCTAAGTTTAGTGATATTTTGGCATCTAAATCTAAATCGATAGATTGCCGAAATCTAGGTTTTGTTTGTTTTTTTTTAGACATGTAGGTTAGAGATTTTTTCTTAAAGATTTTGTTTTTTTTTTTTTTAGGTTTAAGTAATTACCTTTTTTAATTAATAAATTTTGAAAATTAAATTTGTTGAAAAATATAATATGGATTTGTTGACAAGTCACATGGCATTTTAATAATTTCATGTCAAAAAAAAGCTTCACTAAAAAACAAAGTCAAATGTCGTGTCAATAAAATCAAATGACACATCAATAAGTCAATGGATACGTCAACAAATTTAACGAAAAAATTTTAACAAGGTTAATGATTGGATTAGATTATCAAATCAATTTATTATGAGGATTATATTTTTATGAATTATGCAATAGAGATTAAATCTCAAATTTCATCTGAATGCAAGGATTGATTACATAATTTAACCAAAAATTTATATGTTAACTTTTTGCACTTTAACCTCTTATTTTAGCCTTTTTGTATCAACTGTCAAAATATTAAAAAAGAAGACTTTTGTGTCATTTCTTGATTAACATGTTAGCATTTGTGGAAATTGAATAAAACTTTTGAAAATTTAGTAATTTTAAACACGATAAAAAAATAAAAAAATAAGAATTATATATGAGTTTGATAAAATCTAAAAAATATAATTTGTATTGAATATATCAATGTGAATTTGATATAATAATTTTCAGACTTTACATACATTAATGCAAAACAAATATGATACAAATATATGGATTTTGAAAAATTAAAAAAATAAAAAATTTCTAGAAAACATAAAAATTCAAAAATATAGAAAATTTTATAAAACATTTAGAAAATTAATACAATAAAATTAAATATTTTTATTAAATAAAAATGTTAAATTTCGAAAAAAAATACAAAAGCTTAAAAAAATTGAAATTTAAAAGAAATTTAAAATATTGAAAAAATAATTTAATATTTTTAGATAATCTTGAAATTTTTTAAAAAATTTGAAATATTTATTTTTTAAAAATTAAATTTGATTTAAAAATAATAAAAAATGATTTTGAAAAAACTTAAAATATTTAAAAAATATATCAAATTTAATATTTTTTAAAAAATTGAAAACTCTAAGAAAATTAAATTTTTTAAAAATTAAAATATGATTTTTTAAATTTTAAAAAATATAATTTTTATTAATAATTGGATCAATATTATCAAATTCAACTTATACAAAGATAAAATTTTTATGGATTATATTAAAAGAATTAAAATTAAAATTTTAAATTTCATGTAAATACAAAAATTAATTTTATAATTTGATAGTTGATTTTATTAATCTAAAGTATCATATCAACAAAATCAATGTTGCATTAACAAAATCAATACTTACATTATGAAGTTAATAATCATATCATTATTTTTAATAGTTAAATTTAACAAAATTAATGATTAAAATAAAATTATTAAATCAAATTAATTCTAAAACTCAATTTGAATGAACTAAAGTAAATTGATAAAAATTTAAATTTTGATCAACTAATTCTAACATAATTTGATCATTTTAATAAACCATCATTGTTAATTTATTTGAGATCTCCCGATGATGTTTAGAAGTCACTTTTATTTTTTATTCTTATTTTATTTTTATTCAATAAGAGAAGAAACTGATGGGATCAAACTTTTACCTTTCGTGTATTTTAAAATCTTATTAACCACTGGATCAAGATCTAAAGCTGAAGACGTTTCTATTCTATTCTATTCTATTCCACTCAAGCATATTTTCCCAACATCTATTCTTGTAAGCCACCTTTGAATGACAGCCGGTAAACAGTCCAAATGGGTGTTGTCCATTTATCCACATCTCTTTCCGTTGACTCACTTTCTATAACTGCTTTTACAGCAAAACCAAAATCAATCTCATTTTTCAGTACCCGCCGCCTAAAGCCTGTCTTTCCCACAAAAAAGGATTCACTTTTCGCTGGTTTTATTCTAAAAATTGAAGCTTTGAACTCTAGAAGAATAGCAGGGGAGATGGAAATTGAAAAGGGAATTGGTGCAACCCAAAAATCGATTGTTGATTTTCAAAGTATTGATGAAGGGTTGATTCAAAAGATGGCATTCGATGCTCTTGTTTGGAGTTCTCTTCATGGCCTTGTTGTTGGTGACAGAAATGTTCAGGTTGATCAGCAAAGTTTCATTCTCTGTTTTTTCTTCTTTTTTGTTTTTTTTTTTTTTTCAATTCTCTATATAGCCGCTGAGGCATGATATCCATTTATGTTTATCATTTTTATTGTAAACTAAGGAAAAACTATGGGAAGAATATGATTGAAGCAATTTACTTATTATGTAAGCCTCTTTTGGCGCTTGTTATTTGGAGGAAAGAGAAGCCAAAATTTGAACTTAAATTGCTTTATTATTATTATTTTTTTGTGGTTTTGGTGAACTTTTTGGTTCATAAACTGTTAAATATAGCAAACATGGTTGTAGTGGAATCATCTTTGTGCTAACTTCATCTCCATGTACTCTGTTAGGATTATATTCATTGAATTCCGTTAGCAATTTTGTCAATATCTTTTGATGTTAATTTTTAGTTCTGATTGGCCTCATAATTTGAATTTCGAAATCAAGTTAGGAAATGGTACTCAATGTAAAGTTGTGAATTATCTTAATTTTTATGGTTGAATTTGATTTGGGTGTGTCTGATTGCAGAGATCTGGGCAAGTACCTGGGGTAGGCATGATGCACGCTCCGTTTGCTTTATTACCCATGTCATTTCCAGAATCTCATTGGAAACAAGCATGTGAACTAGCTCCAATATTCAACGAACTAATCGATTGTGTAAGTTTAGATGGAAAGTTTCTGCAAGACTCACTATCTAGGTACTCCATACTTGCACTCTTTCCACCAATAATTATGTAGTTATGTATGTACTTTCTTCTTATAACTGCAATTAAGTAATATGTCATATGAACCATTTGGCTTGGACATATTGAACATAATCCTATTTTTCATGTGAGAATACTGTTTGCTGTAAATTGATATTGTCGATGCTTAAAATTGCAGGACAAAAAAAGTGGATGCTTTTACCTCCAGACTTTTAGATATTCATTCCAAGATGATAGAAATGAACAAGAAAGAGGTAAGTGGGTAATGATTATGGATATTTGGTCTTTAATGATATGGGGAGAATTTATTTTGATTAAAGAAGTGGAGTATTTTAATGTTGAGATGTACTTCTAGAATCTCTGTGCTCCAACCTTTGTTCTTCATGCTCTGTCACATTTTCAACTAGTTTTTATTGTCCATTTTTTTTGGTACCAGTTAATTAGGTTTTATTCATCATAAAAAACAAAAAAGAAGAAGAAAAAGAAACTACTTGATAATTTCTGAGTCTTCTCTGGTGTTTGAAATTAGTGTGCAAAATATTGTTGGAGATTAGGTGATCATATGTTTTATATTAGATGAAACAAGTATTATTAGGTCAATTATTAGTACCTGTTCAATTGTTTCAGCGTATTTGCCAAAATATTTGCTCTAAACGTGAAAAAACAATACCTTGTTTTTTATTACATGAAAGAATCTAACCATATGCAATTTCTGAAACAGGAAATACGCTTGGGTTTACATCGATCAGATTACATGCTTGACGAGAAAACTAAATTACTTCTCCAAATAGAGTTGAACACAATTTCATCTTCATTTCCTGGTCTTGGTTGTCTTGTGACTGACCTTCACAGGTTAACTTAGTATCTCTAACATAAAAATTATTCTTATTTGTTTGAATTTGAATATTGCCATGCTGGAATTTGCATGTTGAATGAAGCTTATTGAAAAAATTGTTCAAATGTGTGTGTTTGTTCTTGTCACTTTTAACTTTGACTTTAATTTATAGCAATAAGGAGACTGAAGTGTTCTTTTAACATGTGAAGAAAAAACTTTGAAGTGCAGAGATAGGATATCTTACACGTATAATCAAGGTTCTTTGTTAGGAATTTTACTCTGGTAGTGATTAATTACCAAAGAAAGTTTCATGAGCCTATATTTATTGCTAACCCAAATTGAAAAAGCATAACCATTTTAAGTACGAAATTTATTATTTTTATGCAATTTTGTACCCTCTTAATGCCCCTAATATTTGAAATATAGCAAAAAGGAGTAGTAGAAACATTTTGTTGGTATACTGCTGCAAAAAGCTTGGTAGGTATTCTGAATTGCTGATGCATTGTTCAGCAAACAGAATTATCAAGAAGTTTCTCAACTGTAGCTAGTCATTTTGCAGGACTCTACTTAATGACTATGGAGAAGACCTTGGATTAGATTCTAAAAGGATCCCTGGAAACACTGCAGTTGGTCAGTTTGCTGAGGCATTGGCTAAAGCTTGGACTGAGTATGATAACCCCAGGTTAACTTTGAAAGAATACTCTGTGATGGTTCTTGTATTACTACAATCATTGAAGTGATTTTGGTGCTTTTCTTTTTTTTTTTTTTTTTTTTTTTGGGACAGGGCTGTAGCTATGGTTGTTGTTCAGACTGAAGAACGCAATATGTATGATCAACATTGGCTTTGTACAGTGTTGAAGGAAAGATATCCTTATAACCTTTTATATCTATTGGTTGAAGAAATATGGTAAAATCTGTTCTTAGTATCATAAATATATTTAGATGTATTTTTAAGTTAGAAACCTTCAATCCAGAGCTTACTTGGCATTGCATTCCTTAGCTTGGTAACACACATAATGTGAGAACTATTAGGAAAACATTGGCTGAAATTGATAGAGAAGGCAAACTTCTACCTGATGGCACACTTCTTGTGTACGTATCTTCATACTGCATAGAGTGATTTTTCTGATCTAGATTTTAGAATTACCATGCCAAACTTCTAGTTTTAATGTCTGAATTCTTTGCACCTGTAGAGATGGCCAAGCAGTTGCAGTTGTCTATTTTAGAGCAGGCTATGCGCCAACTGATTATCCTTCAGAATCAGTAAGCAATTTCACTTTTTTTTTTCTTGCTAATTGTTAAAAATATTATTTTGACTGCTAATTCATTTTTACTTTATTCATCTTTTCATTTTCAGAGTTGCTTTTCAGAGTTGCTTTGAATTTTATTTTTACTATGGAGTAGTCATCCTTTCCAATTACGGCAACATTAGACTGAGTTTTACTGTTTGTACTTCTCATGTGTCTGTTAAATTTTTAATTTTAAGGAGTGGAGAGCTAGATTGCTAATGGAGCAGTCGTCAGCTATCAAGTGTCCATCAATAGCATATCATTTAGCAGGAACTAAGAAGATTCAACAAGAACTTGCAAAACCTAATGTACTTGAGAGGTAATTAATTCACCATTTCTATTAAATTAAGAAAAAAAAGAGAAGTAATTGATTCTATATTTCTATCCGAATAATATGTTAGCATAGTCTGTCCAAGTTATCTATGGATTTATCACTTACTGATTTAGACTTTAGAAATATCCTCCTGAAAGATTTATTCCTGTGGCTAGAAGATGCCTTATAATTGTCCAGGGAACTTTTTTTCCTATTAAATGATATCTAAAACCTTCAAAGCATTTACTACTTTATTCAACCTCAAAAATGGCAATCCCAATATTATAGAACTAGGATATTGAAGTATTACAGCATGTTGTTTTCTTGGTAATGCAAGTATATTAGTCTAAATTTTTAGCAAACGCTAGTTTGTGTCCGGTTTGAGGCATGTATTATTTTTATGTTAAATATATTAAGGATAAATGAATGAGAATAATAGCAAAAAAAAAAAGAATAAACATGATTTAAATTAAATCAAACAAATATTGGTTTTTGATTTAGTAAATAAATGCATAAGAAAAATAGCAAAAAAAGAAAAAGAAAAATCGTGAAATGAAAATGTAAAAGAATTGGCTACTGTAGTAAACATTTCAATTACCATCAACATAATTTCTCTATCTTAATATAGAAGAAAGAAACAATGAACTAATAGAAGAAAGAGATTATATACCTCAAACAAAGCAAGCCATGTCATAAAATCACATTAATTATTGTATGCCATTAGAAATAATTGCTCTATCACCATTAAAGGCTTTTAGTGGCCTAAATCCGAACCTCAAATCTTGTTTCAATAGAAGATTCCCTAAGTCCCGCACGTTAAAAAATTCATTCAAGCAAAAGATCCTAGAATGGGTGATATAACAAATAAATATCGTTTATTCATTCAAGCAAAAGAACCTAGAATAAGTTACGACAAACCTTTTACATTGGACTTGATGAGATAAATTAAGTTTAAAGAAAATAAAATATGCAACTATAGTACTTTTAAATAGTTAAATCTCATTAAATACTTGAGACTATTGCAATAAGTATTACCAAACAAATAGAGATAAAAGCTGCAGAAAAAAGTAAAATTAGTAAGAATGTTAGATTTTGGTTCATTTAAATACAAATTAGAACTAACCCAAGTACTCTTAGTTTGACATATAAATTATTGAAGAAAAAAAGAATTGGATTTGGTGGATGGAGCATAACATTTGTGTTGATCCATATTTAATGCATTTGTAGAGTAGTCTTCCTGGTCGTCTAGCATATTAAGATACCCTATTTATAATAGACATTTTTTTGGGTACAATATGAATTCTAGGGAAGCTTACCATAAGTGTTGATGTTTTACGCTGGGAATTAAAAATTTAAAGGTTAATTGTTAATAAATTAGTCATAATTTATGCAAAGCAATTACAACATATTCTTTTATAAAATAATTTAAAACAAGGTTATGTTTTTTTTAGAATGTTTATAGCTATAATTCACGATATTCTATGGGTAAGTTGTTCTAGTAAATTAATAGGTTTCTATAATCATAAATATTGATTAGAAGAGATATATAATAAGTTCACAATTGATAAGCTTTCTGTTTAAAATTTGATTTTTGTAATTAATTATCAAATTAATGGTGACTAACTTATAGAAGGTAAGAATTTTGATATTTAAAAATATAAATATAATTAACTAAATTGTGACTTGTGCAATGTATAAAATAGTTTTATCTATTTAAGTATTTGTAAACACACCAAAATTAGTATTTTATGCATTACTTATTTTAAATTTTAAAAATTTATAACATACTTAAAATTCAAATATTTAAATGACATATCTTAAAAAAACAAACATTTTAAAAACACATATATAGTAAATAGTATTAAAATTATAAGATAACAAAATATATGATAAAAATAAATAAAAATTTTCATCTATTCCTATATGATTATATCAATTAATAAAAATATATTATGTTTATTTAAAAAAACTCTGAAATTATATGTTAAAATAATGTATGATAACTTACTCACCTAATATGTACACACATATGTAAATATATATTTGCAAAAGTTCAACAATACCTTGATTTTGAGCAATTGTATGGTTTTTAAAATTTTGTGTTTATTGGATGTTTTAAACTCAACATTCCATGCAAACTTGTGATCTTGCAAAGGTTAAAGAAAAATAATTTTCAAATGTAACACTAGACGATGGTATTAAAGCATAAAAAAACAATTGAGAACACTATATTACTATCCAAAATCCATAAAACCTCATTAAACATTGTTAAATTATAAATTTTTAAAATTTATTCAAATATATACACACACACACACACACTTTTTAATTTTTGGCCAAACTTCAATTATTAATTAAACTTAATGACTAAATTTGAAGTTTTTAGGTACTCTTTTAACCATAGTATCACATCTATAATTATTACCATCGTGCATATTGAAACAAAATTTTCATAATATTTCAATCTACCGAATTTTAAATAGATAAAATGAATTAATAATTTCAAGTTAAATGAAAAAGACTATTTTGCATGGTAGATTATATCCAAAATTTCAAATCATTAATAGGGGAAATATAATTAGAATTTTATATCCTTTTGTAGTTTTAAGTTCATATTCAAATAATTTAAATGGACTTAATCGTCTCTTATATTTTGAATGTGGTAACTTGCATAATTTTAGGCATTTTTCATATAAATATTTGATCATCTATTTGAATTTGGTGAAATGCAAAGTTTTATGAATTTTTCTAGGTGTCAAATAGGTAGAGTATTCACGTAAAAGTCCATGTCAATACACCTTGTTCAATAATCATACCTTGTTATATTTATTTGTAAATTAAAGACGTATAAAATCAAATAAAATTCATTAATTAGATGACTCGTGGTGTTTACATAAGATTGTTCATGTGTCAAAAAGTTTGGTTATACAATTGTCTTTTTTGTCAAAAGTTTTGACCTTTATATATTTAAATAAGATTAAGATTGAACAACTGCCATTACATGAAGTTATATGTCTTGGTTGAATTTTCCTTTCTCCTTGCAAGCAGGTTCCTCGAGAACAAAGAGGATATTGCCAAACTGCGAAAATGCTTTGCTGGATTATGGAGTTTGGATGATTTGGACATCACCAGAAAAGCAATAGAAAAACCTGAGTTATTTGTCATGAAGCCCCAAAGAGAAGGAGGAGGTTCCATATCTTAAGACTTTAGAATATAATTATTGTTCTTCATTATATTCTTTCAGTTGAAAATTGAGTCTTCAATTCCAATTCAGGGAACAATATCTATGGTGATGATGTGAAGGAAACCCTTCTACGATTGCAGAAGGAAGGGTCTGAACAAGATGCTGCTTATATACTTATGCAGAGGATTTTCCCCACTGTTTCGCCCACATTTTTTATGCGTAGTGGCATTTGTCATAAAGATCATGCCATATCAGAGCTTGGGGTATACAGTGCTTACTTAAGGTACAACTTACTGTTTTTGCTTCATCTTTTATTGAAGCTTCTGTCATTTCCATATAATGCTATTAGATTCTCTCTTCACTTATCAACCCCCAGTGGCCAATGGGAAAGAAGGGGAAAGAACATGTTAAAATAGTTGACACAGTAAAGCTTTACCCTTTTACTCTCACATTTCTCATTTTGGGATGCACTGGATAGTCATCAATTTGCACTTGCAGGAACAAGGAGAAGGTTATCATGAATGACCAATGTGGTTACTTGATGCGGACCAAGATATCATCATCAAATGAAGGTGGGGTTGCAGCCGGATTTGCAGTCTTAGATAGTATATATTTGACTTAATGAACTGAGCTTCTTGGTTGCCATTGATTTTACATATACATCCAAACAGTTACTGCTGATTTATTTACATGACACCCAATTTGGCAAATCAATGTTCGTCGATATCTTGAAACAGCTTGAAGAGCTTTTCAAGTCTTGGCTCACGGAAAAATCTGTGGATTTCATTTCCTTTCCCCGTAACTAACAATGTCGTAAAATGGGTCGTTATACTACTGGTTTTCAGTCATTGGAACACAACTTCTGTGATTGCAAACCCCTTCATAGTTTTCTTTGCTTTATTTTCTTTATCTGAGCAATAACTGAATTATCTTTTACTTTCATCTGAGCAATAACTTTATTGGATATTGATATCAGAAGCCGACTGTAATGCTAATATTAGATGTATTGGCCCTCTTTCCAGCCTTACAATGGAAATCGTTTTTTTTTTTTTCTTTTAATTTCTTTGATGACATTTACTCCGAAGTTGCATGTTCTAGGTATGCCTAAGTGGTAAGAAACATGGCTTTTCATCGAAAACAAGGTTCCAAGAGAAAACTGATGTTGTGGACTTGAATAAATTCAAATAGATTTTGAAACCGTCTCGTCAGTCGAGGCAAAGTAGCCTTTGCTGCGCAAGTGTGATTGTTAGTCGGCGACGTGGCTAGACGCCATTCATTAGGCCGGGAAGAGAAATTGTAGGCGAGCTTGGTCTAATCATACACCAGAAAGGTCTATTTGGGAGTATCATCCTGGTTGAAATAAGCTAGATACATGAGATAAATTTGTGTTTGAAAAGTGTTGTCATGGGAAAATTAGTTTTAAAAACTGTTATTAATAAATTTAAAGGTGTCAAATGGATCATGTTGAGTCAGTATAACTCATTTAAATATGAATTCAAATGTTAATAGATTATGTCAGCTTGGTATTATTTTTTATTATTGAAAATTAAAATATCATAAATGGAATTTTATTTGTTGGATTATTTTATCAGCAATCACTAATGGTTTATCAATGAATTATCACCAAATTATAATTATAAAAGAACTCAAAAATCATCGATGAAATATCGATTGAATATTAATATAATTTATCGAAAGAATTATTTTCGTCAATATTTCGTGGGTATATATTTGACAAGAATTGGGAGTAGATTTAGTAATTCATGCATTTATGTCATGTAAAATATTAAAATTTATGCATTTGTATCGTATTTTATAAGAAAATTACGTGTAATAATTTCTGTTGACATGAAAATATGGAATATATTTTTTTAATTTTGTTAAATTTATATATAATTATTTTAAAACTTTAAATCACATCATTTTCGTGTTTTATATACATGACGTATTGTGCCATATCATTATATCATTTTTATATTGTCAAATTTAATTAAGAAAAATTAGCACAAGAATTATTGATAAAATTATTCGTTAGTAATCTGTAAATAAATATTTCATTAATGGATTACCAATAGATTATTTTATTGGTATAGAATTTTGTAAAAAAATAAAATAAAATAAAGCTAGTGAAAAATATATTAATTTATTTACTAAATTTTCATCAGTAATCCTCCCTCTTATACACAAACCCTTTCTCTAACCAAGCTCTCCCCTCGTTTGTCTCCTTCATCTTGGTCTCCGCCTTCGTCCCGACCGCTCTCCACGCTCTCGCCTACCCTTGTCCTTGCCGTTCTCCGTCCTTAATTCCTCACCTCCAATGGCCTTTCACCTCCTCCACCGTTCATCCAATTATTAAGGCAACAAGATTTAATAAACATATTGCTAAGTAAAAGTGACAACAGCTCAAATCGGATGATTCGATTTTTTCAAATAATGAATAGTATAATTAATTTTAAAAATTTAATTTGAATTCGAATTGATATTTTCTTGAAATCGATCTTATTTGAATTAAATTTTATCGATTTTGTTTAATTTGATTTATTGATTTTAATTTTAAATTTTATATATTATTTTAATAAAATTTTAAATATATTTAAATAAATTTATATATAAAATAATTATTTTTATTTTATAAAAATTTAAAAAATTATATAAAAATTAATAAAAATATATAATTCAATTCGTTTTTAATTTTTAAATTTTTATATCTTAATCTAAAATTTGATTTAAGCTTAATATATATATTTAATATTTAAATTTTATCCTAATTGAATTTAAAAAAAAAAAAACCTTATCCAAACTAAGCTAGTCACTAGGTTTCAAAGTTATTTTTTATTTTTTTCATTTTTCATGGTCAAGGGCAATAGGTCGAGTTGAGACAGATTTTTGCGTTTCTCAAATTCGATCTGATTTTTTATCCATTAAATTTGAACTTGACCCGATCAAAAATTTTATTTTTATTTTTTTTATATCCAATCTCGATTCGATTCGATATTATATAAATTGTATCCGATCTGATCTGAAATTAATAAAATATTATTTTTTAAATATAAATATTTAAATATATAATTATATAAATATATATAAATAAAAAAATTAAATAAATAATTAAAAAATTAATTTTTATATAAATATAGATTTAATTTGCTTAAAATTCGAATTTATCCGATACTCGAAATTCGATTTAAAAAAAAAAAAAAAGGACTCTAGGGATCGATCGGGTCGAGTAGGAATTCGGCGGGGCCGACCCCAAGGATCAGAAACCGCATTGTTTCACCCTCCGTCGCCTCCTCTCTTTGCCTTTGTTCTGGCATGGGTCTCCCTGTGGGCAAAAACATCGTGCCCCGACATGGGTTTCTTTTTTGGGGAAACACCTCGGGCCGCCTTCATTCCTTCGCCTCCTCTCTTTGCCTCCGTTTTGGCATGGGTCTCCTTATTTTGATCGAATCGCTGGTACAGTCCGAAAGGTAACAAGATCAATTTTTAAGGTCGATTAAATGTTTATCGTTGTAAAGTTGAATTAATATTAATTAATCTACTATGGTTCCAATTAGTTCCATGATATCCGTTCCCCTTAAAAATATCAAAATTTGGAAGTGGTAGTTGTTAATTTGATTCTTGACAAAGATTGATGGCGAAATTTTTATAAGGTAAACAAGTGAACTTAAATTCATATTCAGCTTCTAAAGAACCAAAAGTCAAAATGGTGCAAAATAATTTGTTGTTGTTCTTACAAGGGGAATTATGGCGTTTGTGTCATCATTAGTATAGAAATAATGTAGTGGCCAATATTTGTTGGTTGTGAATGAAAGAGATTGCCACAATAGCCTGTTTTCAGCGATCTTTTAGAGTTGAAAGCAATAATTTCACACAGGCTCACATTAGAACGCACATGTCTTTGGCTTTTCCTTGTTTCCTTCTCTATTGAACTTGGGAATATAATCAGATATGTCATTTCCCTGTATAACATATTCAATTGTCGATACAAGCCCTTGCCTCGGAGGTAAGTTTTGCATCTGCCTACTGTGGTTATATATTCATCTTATGATTGGTTAGCAAAGTTGACAATTTGTTTTGGGAAACCACTGTTTACTTGTGCAAACATAGGAAGCATGGGAGATTCAGTTTTCCTTTCTTTGACTGCTTTGTTGTTGGCCTAATAGGTTTATAGCTCTATTTCTCATTCGTTATTTGATCATTTAAATATCCTCAAGAAAAAATCTACCTTAATTATCTTTTGCAATGTGCCTTTTTCTTTTTCTCTGATTTTGTAGAGTAACATTTAAACTTTAATTTTAGCATAGCATTCAGATGCTTATTTCCTAGTGTTTGTTCATTCTTTTTGGTTATCTTGAGTCTTTTTTTTTTTTTTTAAATGTGAAAAACTTGATGATTGAAATCAAAGAAATTATTATTGAACAAGATTTGCTTGAATTTGTAGTCAGTATTGTCTGGCTATGTAAAGTTTGATCAGCTTCCTGTAGTATTGCTTCCTAGCATATGTTGAGGTCATCTCAAATTATAATGTGATGTATATGGCAAAGGTAAACATAGAGCTAAATTTTTATTTTGAGAGAAGACTGATAATGAAAAATACATAATTTTGATCCAAACCTTTACTTTTTGTGAAGACGAGATTGCACTTCCACTTGCTGCTAGAATTCATCATTTTAAGGGAGGTATTACTTGCTTAGTAAAGAAATTAAGCATGACATTTTTTTAGGCCATGTTTGGATTCCTTTCAAAAATAGTTTTGTTCTCTAAACTAATTGCTATTGCTAGGTTGCATATTTCCATATTTCTCTTATCAAAGCAAGATTCATCAAATTTGATAAGGTTTGTTCATTGTTTCATTTGTTTCATTTGTTCATTAAGATAGTGGATGAGATTGATGCTTATGAATACTGTTTATCACTTTTGATGATTGAATGACCATTCATGGCTAAATGCCAAGTTCTTGGTGTAAACTTTGCATAAATGTACAATGTAGGATTTGATCTTTCAATTTTACTATCAATTTAAGATGTTTTAAGAGCTTTTGTGGCAGTGCTGTCCTGGTACAAGTCTAACATCAAAAGGGGATTGTGGTAGGGATAATACAAGTCTAAAAAGTCTATAAGGTTAAATGCAAATGAGATTGTGCTTCAGGTGTGTAATTCAATTTTTTAAGGATGGTTTTTAAAGAGTTTATTTCATGAAAGCCTTTTAATTATTACAATAAAATTCGTAATAAAGTTTATTGTTGTTATATATATAAACTAAAAGCAACAAAGTATTTAATTTTGTTAACTATCTTTTCCTTTTAATTTTTCCTGTTACAACATCAATTGTCTGCTCTGTATGGTTCCTTCATAAACTTTAACTTGTGAAGACTTGTGTCTCTTTAATTCTTCACTTAATTTTAATGAAATCTCAATCTACTTTAGCATGCGTATCATGCCATATTCATGAAAGATTCTTATCATGAATGTATTAGAAAATAATATAACACCGGGAGTTCCCGAGGCTAGTTGACTTTCTTCTTTCTTGCATAAGATCCCAACACTATTATATTTACCGAAACCATGTTGATGAAATCAAATAGTATTCATGACTGACATCTCTTGAATTGTCAATTCAACTGTTTGTAAATCACGTGCATTTAAGTGACAAAAAAATGCATTAGTTGGAATTGAATACAATAACATATGTAAACACATGAACTCATACATATGTATTATACTTTTATCTATATAACTATACCCGTGCATAAAATTTTACATCCACTATTTAGTTTACATATAATTTTGACAATTTAGTATATATTCTAACTCATTTGATTCTATTTTGTAGGTATTTTTATTGTGCATTGGAAGTATTTGATTATTTGGCTTGCTTGTATTATCAAATGTTTTTATGAAATTTGTTACATATATGTATTTTTGTGTTTTCAATTAATTAGAATTCATAAACAAATTTGTAAGATATTATATATTCTTTTATAACTGAAATAAATGTTTTGCTTATTTAATTTTTTTATTTATGTATATTTTAATATTCATATTATTGCTTTAGAAATAAAATTTAACAAGCTAGAAAGAAATAACAAAAATTATAAATAAAATATAATTAAATATGATTTAAAAATAAGTATTATCAACGAAATTTTAACTATTATTGATTATTTTTTAAAATTGATAATTAATTCTGAAAAATATATTAAAAATTATACCAATGAAAAAATATTTTTATCGATAAGAAAATTCTGTCAATAAATTATAAACGAAATTTTATAATATCGATGAAATTATATTAGTGACGAGCCTAATGTTGCCTTAAAAGTTTCGTCAGTAATGTTAGTACCGATGAAAAATGAAGTATTACCAACAAAAATTTTTGTTGGTAATACTTATTTTCTAGTAGTGTTTTAACATGCCTAGTTGGCATGACCTATGAAGGTTAAGGGTGTGGCTTAGTATAACACAGCTCGTAATCTTCATGGGTTGTGCCATGCCAGACACAACACTATTTTTCGTACTGAGTTGAGCCAAACACAACCCATTAATACTTTTTAAATTATAATTATTTTTAAAAAA